AGAGGGAGGGAGGGGGAGGGAGAGAATACATGCACTTATAACAAAAAATTCTGTTTTGTGCTTATTAATATACTAAATCAACAAAGATTTAATCTGGATCTCACTATGTACAGTTTTAATAGGCTTTATATACTATGTAATACTTAATGTTTAATACTTTAAGCTATAAAAACAAAAAACATTCTGTTTCATTAAATTTCTTGAGATTTTTACTTAATTTCCATTAAAAGTAATACAAGTGAGCTGGGGATTTAGCTCAGTGGTTTCGCCACCTGCTGTGCAAGCGCAAGGACCCGAGTTCGATCCCTGGTACCAAAAAACAACCAAAAAAAAAAAAATACAAATGAAGTAAGTTCTTTTAAATACTATATATTAAAATTGCCAGAATTATGAATACTAAAAAGCAAAACATAGTCACATAAGCAACCTAGTTAATCATATGTCAGTCACAAAGTGTTACTTGGCTTTAATTTTCAGAAATATAAAACGGGAATTGGGTCAGGTGATTGCTAAGATTTTTTTTCCAATAAAATAAAGCAACAAGTCCATTGAAACTTTACAACTTTATTATCAGATTTAATACTACTCTTTGATGAGCTCCACATGTGGTTTTCTCACAAGTGTAATATACTGAAAGGCAGGGCTACTTCACAGTCCTGACCTACACTGCTCCAGGGGGAAACCACTCTCTGCCGCATGTCACAGCCCTGACTAGGCGAGCAATTTTTTTTTTTTTTGGTTCTGAGGATGGAACTCGAGTCCTTGCACTTGCTTGCACAGCAGGTAGGTGAGTGATTCTGTAGTACTCATATTAAAACTCAGCCCAAGGTCAGTATCACCCCCACACACCCACCAGCACCGCCAAAGCAAGCTTTTCTCAATTGGAGCACTCATGAACACTTGCTTTTCTCATTCTCTCCTCCATTCATTGTTTTATTCAGCAAAACAAAGGCCCAGCAGCGAGCTAGAGACATCCTCCTCCAGCCAGCTTAGGGAAGGAATGATCACAATGATTTACTTTGTATTCCTTCCAATTCTTCACAATAAAAATTACACTATATTTATAAATAAGAGCAAAGTAACATTGATCTGTAAAATATCTGTTAAAAAAGTAACTTACAGAAAAACCATTTAAACTGTGAGTTAATATTTTAAAATAAAAAGTATTGCATATAAGTGATAATTTTTAAATTAAAAAACTACAGTGGTAATTCTTTTGTTTTGTTTTTGCAGTGCTACAGATGGAACTCAGGACATGCATTATACCACTGCGCTACACCCACTGTTTGATAACTCTTTTAATAAAAATATTATATAGTTAATTTCAATAATAAAAGATGATCTCAAGAGTAGGTTTCAATCAGCTCTTTTTAAAGTCTGGTGGATGGAAATTTTCCAAATTTCCTGTCTAGGAATAAGTCCTTAGGTTGCTCTCTCCTGGGACCCAGGCAACATTAGATTTCCCTTATTACTTTTGCATGTAGGCTGTCTGCCATCTTAATCACCTTAATAAGGAAAATCTCTCCCTTTGGGACCACTCTGCTAATCTGAAAAGTATATCTTAACCTAATTTATAGGTCTATAGCTATAAGCCTACTTCCTTCTCATATTTGAATTCAATGGCATATAAGACCTGATTAAAAAAAATGGAGTTGTTTAAATTAAAAAATTTATTACAGTAAAAGATATTACCATTAATTTCCTTTAAAATACTTTCCCTCCCAGCCAGCTGTGGTGGTGCACATCTGTAATTCCAGTACTTGGGAAGCTGAGGCAGAAGGATCCCTGCACATTCAAGGTCAGCCTAGGCTACCTAGTAAGTTCAAGGCCAGCCTGAACTATATAGTGAGACTCTGTCTCAAAAAGCAAATAACAGGGGCTGGGGTGGTAGTTCAGTAGTGCTACACTTGCCAGACAAGCTCAAGGTCCTGAGTTCTCTGAGTTTGATTCCCCAGGATGGGATGGGAAGCAAATAACAAAAACAAAAACAAAAATACTCCCCCTCCCTTCAAACACATTTGTTTGATCATTCTTGCCATTTTCTGAAGCAGTTCTGAAAGTCTCTGTTTCTTCATTCTTGTCTTTAGTTGCACTGCTGCGGCTACCTTAATATCCTGAATTAATTCAAAATATTTACTTTTCATAGTCATTTTGACTTTGGGGAAGAGACAGAAGTTGCACTGTGCCATATCTGGTGAATAAGGTGGATGAGGACACACTGCAATGCTTTTATAAGTGTGCTTTTCTATTAGGTCCCACTTGGAAAGCAGTATTCAGTATATTTTTAATCGCACCTTGCAAAGACACGAATGAGAACTTCCAGAATTACTTCAGAAAGTAGCAAGAAAAATGGGATAAGAGTAAAGAGAAGAGGAGTTATTTTAAGAGGGATTAATGGCAATTTGTCTTTTAGTGTAATAACTTTTTAAACATGCACTATGTATTTTGATTACATCTCATACATTTACATGGTAGGCTTCCCAAACTACCACTTTTTATAATATCAAAATAACTTTAAATCTTATAGTGACAGAACGTCCATACCCCACAACAAGAAATGGTTTATTTACATGCTTTTGAAATCTTCTATTTAAACGATGTTTGCAAACACCTTAAGATAGCATGTTAACAAGAGAAACTCTCAATGTATATTAAAATTTAATAATTTGGGAATTCAGTTTTTATAACAGAAATACTTTAAAATACCCACAAGTAATAAATTTTAGGAGTTACAGTATATAATCCCCAATTATCAGTTATAATTTTATCCAACCAGTTATAATTGTTTTCCCACATCATTAGTCTTTTAAAGCTTACACATAATGCCTCTATGACACTTTACATGGCTAAACATAAATTACAGTAACCATTACACCAAGTTCAACATTAAAATTGCTTCTATTTTTGCTACCGTATTCATTTTTTAATTTATAATGTATAGTGCTTAAAATGAATAGAACCATACCAAAAGCATTTAAAAACTCTGCCCTCCAGTTACTGGAATCTGCTTGTTACTATCCAAACTTGTACTCCCATATATAAAAGTAACTCTCTTCATGAAACAACTCTTGGGTCTAAGCACTAAATTTTTCAGGATATAAAGCAAAATTTTCCTATCACAATAAATTATTAACATGTGGTCAGTAGTAATTAAACAAGCCTTATAGTCACATCATTATTTCCCAATCATACTGCCTTACTATCACTAATAATTACTGTAGATGCTATCAAGATGTTCACAATACATACCTCTTGTGCAAGATCTTGGGCGTTGGAGATAATAGGAAAAGGAGGACTGGCCTTGTTCATGTGTACTGTGACAGCATTGTGTATCTTAAATGCATTCTGGAAATCTTTATTTTGTACAAGTTGTAAAAGCAGTGAAATATCTTCCTGGCTCTGAGAATCTACCAAAGTATGTTGGATATGTTTAAGTGAAGAAAATAAGTCTTCCACTTCTGGTAGGAGAAAGAAAAGAAATTCTAAAATTAATTGTTTTCAACATGTGTTTTAAGATGAAATTTCCTGAACTGGTAACAATGTACTATATTTTTGGGGAAAAAAAATCACTTCATATATTTTTGAATGTCAATCAATGTCACTTTGCTGATTTTTAAGTAAAACTCAAAAACCATCCAACAGAATAACTTATATTTTTAAAAAATGGTGTTAATTATAAAAGTAATATATAATTACTATAAAAATGATGGGAAGAATACAGAAAATAAACTTAAAACCACCAATAATCCCATCCCCTAAAAACAATTATTTTTCCTGAACATCTTGATGTATTTTCTTTTTGCACTTAACAGTACATTATAATTGTTTTCCCACATCACTAGTCTTTTTTTTTTTTTTTTTTTTTCCGTACTGGGTATCAAACTCGGGTCCTTGTGCTTGCGAAGCAGGTGGCAGAACCATTGAACTAAATTCCCAGCACCATCACTAGTCTTTTAAAACTCACATATAATGCCTCTATGACACTTTACATGGCTAAACCATACATTACAATAACCATGACACAAAGTTCAACGTTTAAATTGCTTCTACTTTTGCTACTGTAAGTTAATATTTCAGCACGTAGTAATCGTTGCTGCATATAAATCTGTTTAAGATTCTGACATATTTAAAAGCCAAACAGATTTCTAGGGAGTTTACACTGATGTATATCCCACTAGCAATATTTTCACCAACGGGGCCAGGGATTTAGCTCAGTGGTGCCACTGCCTGCCTCGCAAGCGCAAGGTCCCAAGTTTGATCCCTGGTACCAAAAAACAAAAAGAAAAACAAAAAGCCCTATTGAGGCACTGACTAAAATTAAACTGTAAATGAGTCTGGGAAAAATACAGTGGATACTAACCGTTATATACATAGTTGCATGAAAAAAAACCTCTCATTACATCATTTTTGTTAGGTTTCTTTACATAAAGCCTACAGAAAAGCTATTGATTTGTTATTCTTTTATTGTGTATTCCATTATTTTAACAGCAGTTAAATTTTTAAATAGATTTTAAAAGACAATCAAAATAGCTTTAGTCTTCCTTATAAAAGATATATTTAGTCATCTTTATTCTAAAAAATATACCCACACACATGGTTATCAGTAATATAAAATTCAACAAAACTGAAAAGAAAATTAGAAAGTCAAAACTGCCATTAGGATGACCTAAGAAGCTGTTATCAAGAAGTAGATAAGATCTGAAGGACAGCTATAACTTAACCATAAGCTAATATGATAGCTACAAGAGTAGACAGAAAAAACATGGAATGCCAGAGTCTATCAAATTAGAAGAAGTCACCAGACAACCCCTAGAAGTATAAAGATTTCAACAGCTTTTTTTTTTTTTTTTTGCCGGGGATCGAACTCAGGACCTTGCACTTGCAAAGAATTCAATAGCTTTAGTTTCATTAGAAAGCCAGGCTTGGTGGTACATGCTTGTTATCCCAACGGACTACAGGAGCCTGAAGTAGGAGGACGGTTGCAGTTCAAGGCCAGCTGGCCTAAACCACAAGATGAGACCCTGTCTCAAAAAAGCCAAATTTATTGATCCCCGGTACCAAAAAAAAAAAAGCCAAATTTAAAAAAGTTTCATTACAACAAAACAGGCTACAACTTTATCAGCCTTACCTGAGCGGAGAAATTCCTACTAAAATTTTTAGTAATTTGTCAAAAAGATTCAGCCTGAATTCCAGAGAAATGAAATACCAGGAACTTCAGATGTAATCACTGACTAAAATTAATAAGCAATCTTAGTCCAGGAGGTAACTGTCTCCCTAGTGGGTCTCTTCATCTTCAGGGGGGCTGCAATTTTTCTAAGGCAAAAGAGTTTCTTCTAGCTACTACTAGTATTGTTTCATACCATGTAGTCCTTCAAGGTTTATAAAATTTATTCAATTTTTATTTTCACTAGTACAGGTTTGCAGTAAATAATGATTATATTCCTTGCAGGGAGTTGGTACATGTACATAACACATCTTAATTCTTTTTTCACCCAGCACAGATGATATTGTAAGCATGGTTTCCTAATCTAATGGTTTCCAATAAGTTCTTAAAATAAATTCCCAGGATAAGACTGACCAAATAAAAACATTTAAGACTTTGATACATATTAACAAACTGCTTTCCAGAATTGTATCAACTTATACTCCTACTAGCAATGATTGTGGGTGCCTATTTTCACAAACACATATCAAAGCATTATCAATTTTTAAATTTTTTTGTAACCTGGTAAGGCTGAATATATCTTTACAAGATATAGTCATCTATATTTCTTCTTTTAATTATTTTTTTCTACTAGATTGTTTTTTCCTTAATAACTGAACTACATTGATTAAAGGGATGTTCCTGCAGTCTTAAGGAGAACATACAGAATTTCATTTTTTATTATATCAGAACAAGAGCTTTTAATCAGTGGTCAGTTCCAAGTGGTTAACTTTAAAATTCTACAAAATAAGTGCTTCTTATGTTGATAGGAACTAAGGTAAGGAATACAATTTTCAGAGAAAAGTAAAACCTGGTTAATGTGTTTATATTGAGAAGGTCTAAAGCTACAAAGGCCATCTAGGACAGTTTAAAACTCAGAAGAAAAAAAATGTTAAGAACAAAGCTCAAGCTGGGCATGGTGGTGCACACCTGTAATCCCAGAGCTTGAGGCTGAGGGAAGAGGATCGCTGCAAGTTCAAAGCCAGACTGGGTTACTAGTGAGTTTAAGGCCAGCCTGAACTACATAGGGAGTCCCTGTCTCAAAAAATAAAACAAAACAAACAAACAAACAAACAAAAATTCTGGAAATCTGTTGCACTCAGGAAACCTGGAACCAAGATAAGATCCACAGGAATAGGAAGTCAACCAAAAGAATATAATTGATTCCCAAAGAGGCTGAGGAACTGGTATTGACATTCAAATAAATATAAGACTAAGTAATGAGTAGTGGGAGAACTTGAGAAGCATTACCAATCCTAGAAATACCAACAAATTTAAATTGGGAGTAAGGTTCAAATTTCTTAGGCATTAAGACCAATTTAAACTTGTTCCAAGTAAGCTATCATCCTTTAGAACTTTTATTCACCTCTATGAAGTCCTATTTATGTTTTTTGTTCTTTAAATAGTAACAACTATTTTCTGTGGTTTTTTTTTTTTTTTTTTTGGTACTGGTGATCAAACTCGGGTCCTTATCTGTTTGTTCTTAATTGATCTTCAGAAGAAACTGTTTAAAGTTCCCATCATCATCTCTACCATTTATCTCTAACATATAATACGACACTTAAAACTTAATTATTGTATGTACAGTAAAGAGAAGAAATAAAATCTTAAAAATATCAATTATATTGGTTTTGGGATATGATTAATCAGGTAAATACAAACATATATAGGTCTACAAACCTCCCACCACTGCCATGGCCTTTTCCTAAGAGTCTAAAATATAAAATAATGAAGAATTTGAAACAACTGACAGATAGCAACCACCAAGAATTACTGTATCTGAAAAGTCTTATCTTCCAATACTTAAGACCCTGGGGAGCTATATGGGAGAATTTTTTGATTAAAAAGGTAAAAATTAAAATTACCTAAGAAATCTCCATCTCTGGAGATGATTCAAAGCATCGGGGATAGCCATCTATTCTGAATTAGCTTTATTTTTACTTATTGCTCTAATTTACCCTACAAGAGAAGTTTTTTCTAGTGATCTACTCCAACATTAAGACTTTTTTCTTTAAATAAGGTGTAGTCTCCTTTTCCTTCCTTCTCCACCCGCAACAGTGTGTGCACCCACATCAAACCCATGGCCTGTCACTCACTACAGCCTAGCCCCTTTCCTTTTTTTAAATTTAAGAACACAAAGTTCAGATTGGAAACTCATGAAAGATCCTGAGCAGTAATTACTGGTTAACAAATTAAAAACAAGTATTAGGGCTGGTGGTTTTAGCTCAATGATACGGCACTTACCCAGTATGTGTAATGCCTCCTGGGTTCAGTTCCTAGCACAATAAAAATATCCCCCCACAAAAAAACCCCCCAAACACCTACAAGTATATGAGAATAGTTGAAAGACAACAGAGCAAAAATCTTACTCCCACATGTAATAAAACAAAGGAAAATTGTCTTGAAGTGACTGCTTAGAAACGGTTCATGACTTTTCCCTGGATAAAACTGAAAGATACTTGGTGAGGGGAAAAAAAAGTTTCAAATCTGGAGTCAGAATGCCTGAGTCTTAGTGGTGGCTTGATCACTTTTTTTTTTTCTTTTTTTGGTACTGAGGATCGAACTTGGGACCTTGCGCTTGCGAGGCAGGTGGCAGCACCACTGAGCTAAATCCCCAGCCCTAGTAGTTTGGTTTTTTCCTTTGGTATCACTTTTTAAAGATTGTATTATGTCACTGGATAACCCACCTCAAGTCTCTGAGACTTTCTATTAAATGAAGGGGTTTGACTAGATTAGTACTTCAGCATTCTTTGGCAACTCTTAAGAACATTTACTTTATTTCTTAACCCAATATACATATTCTTCTTCGAAACAAAAGATGTATACTTGTGCAATATATTAATATTTTCCATATTATTCTAGTTCATAAAAAATTACTGGTTGATACGAAGGGTAAAATTAAAGACAGTGGTGGCAAGCACAGAGAAACTGGAACTTTCACACATGGCTGGTGTAAATGTCAGGCAGTACAGCCACTGTGGAAAAGATTATGACAACTCTTTAATAAATTAAACACAGAATTACAGAAGACCTAGCACCTGTACTCGTAGGTATCTATTCAAAAGAACTACAAACAGGTATTCAAACAAAAGCTGTACACAAATGTTCCTCACATCAATCTTTACACCAAAAGAAGGAAACAACCTAAATGTTTCAACAGAAAATATGGGATAGCCACACAACGGGAGATCATCCAGCCATAAAAAGGAATAAAGCACTGATGCATGATACATGGATGAACCCCCAAAACATAAT